ACTACAACATTGCAGGTTCAGCATAATGAATTAATTACAAAAAGATTCACATGCTGCTGTTTGTAGGGAAGCTGAAGCTTTACGTTTATGAATGCTAGGCTACAGCTATAAATTGAATATGAAACCTTTTTATTGCACTGTTTTATTGCCTGTGACCCTCTGGATGTAAGAGTTACAAACCATTTCCATCACAATTTTTGTGTTGCAGTTAATGAGTTTCTTTCTCTCTGGTCATTTAATTCCATTTTCAAATAAAGTGTGAAACTGAGTGCATTACAAATGTATTCCAGCAATTTCCACAGATTCCTTTATATTCTTATCAAGAAATAAGCATCCCAGTCATTATTTGGTGATGTTACAGGCATTTTGTTAACCTTACATCATTATTAAAAAAAAGTATGTGTAGCTCATTCTTTCTTAAATGAATGCATTAGTTCTTTTCATCTGCACTACATGAAGTATACTACTGAAGGAGAAACACCACAGATAGATAAAGTATGTTTCTATCACCATGCTCATTAAAAAAAGACAAAACAAACTGATAAAAGGAAGATTATAATAGCATGAAATAAAGTGTCTTTATGAAACAGAATGACAAGAAAACTGAATTCATATACTATAGCTAGAAACAGTATAATTCTGTTCTGATCATGAATCATAATCTATTGAAAGAGGAAATGCTATGCATGTATTAGGGATAAGATGTATGATTCCAATAGGACTTAGGTGCCTGTAAATATCTCCTTTGCCACCCACCCAGTTTCCTGCCATTGGGCCACAACTATTGCCTGCTCTTAATATACATTTTAAGGTGTATATCTAGAGAGCAAGGGAAAATATTCCTATCTGGGGAAAAAAAGTCAGAAAGCCATTAATAATGGGGATGATGATACCACCTATCTCACAAAAAGTGACTCTGGGCGGTTCACAATAAAACAGCAATAAATATTAAAAAATAAAACAATATAACATACAATAAAAATAGAATAATTCTATTTACAATTCACAATTCACAAATAATATCTTTATATAAGACATCACAATCATTTCACTGAATATCAGCATGTCAAACATCACAGGAGCTGCCTATCTTGTCCTACAATATAGAAAATTGCAGTTCAGTTTACATTAACTGAATTAGAGATTCATTTAAATATCTATAGCTCTTTAAATATTCTCACTTAAGATAAAACACAGAAAGTACAGTTTAATGCATTAACCTCAAACTAAAGTGGCCCTCCTGATTTACCTGCAATGGTGTACTTGAGTCAGAGTTGTATCTCACAACACAGATCTGAACTACCTTGGCCATTTTAAAATGCATGGACTTCAACTGCCAGAATCCCCCAGCCAGTAGGAAGTCTGGAAGTTGAAGTCCACACTTCTCAAAATGGCCATGGTTGAAAAACACTGACCTAGATACAGAAAAACAAAAGAATCATGGTGCTTCTGGTCTATTCCTTCCCTGACCCCACCGGCCACTCTGCTCCTCGCCAGTTTTATGGGTACCCTTGGATTTTTGCTTAGTGTGATGGCTGTGTTAAGAGGGCAGAACAAGCTGGGCAGAGAAGCCAGAATCTCTATATGTAGTTTCAAAACTCTTTTCAACTACTTCTGAATAGAAAATAGCTGCTGGATGTTTTAATTAACAGCAGAAGTGGTTGATCTCAGAAGAAACATTGTGAAAACCAGGGTTATGCAATGGTTAAAGTGCTGAACTAGGATGGAGAGATCCAAGCTCAAGCCTACCCTTAGCCATGAAACTGATTGGTGATGTTGGGCTAGTCTCTCTCTCTCTCTCTCTCTTCTCAACCTACATTACAAGGTATTGTTGGGGGAATAAAATGCTAATTCTCATTTAAGCCTCCCTGAGATCTGGAAGGAAAGTAGGATAGAAATCTAATTGAGAAACAACTGAGTTAATTAAATGGAAGAAGGGAGGGTTCTTCATCTTTAGCCATCAAATTTCTTGTTCCATCTGGCAAAAGGTTAACACCTGCATGCTATCTTGTCAAAAAATATTCCTGGTAAAAATAAAAAGTTTTGCTTGCTCTTTTCTTTGCATGAAGGTACACCTCAGAAAACAAGGTCTTGGGTTTTCTGCACTGGACAATTTTATAAAAAAAACAAAAGCACCTCTGTGCACGGTTCTATCCCACATTCATGCACCTCATCTTTGGAACTGAGCCTTCTTAAGACAATCTGCCCCAATCTAGTACCCTCAAGGTGGGTTTGGTTACAGCTTCCATCACTGGAACAGTGGTAATTCCAATGTGGAGTGGTATATATGGAGGGGGAAATGTCATAATTTGTGAAGAAAAAGCTTGCATCAGTGTACCAGAATGACCTCTAGTGGTTGTAAATCATCTTACTTTACCCTACTTTTCCTTGATTTTTTTTTTTTTTTGGATGGGTGTATGTTGAATGAATATTGACAATAAATGTGCATGCCATTTCATCCAAGTATTATAAATTCTTAGCACCTTGTTTTTTAAAAATGGAATCATTATGGATTGACTCTGAGGGTAGGAACTGGGAAGTCCTTCCTACAGGTTCTGGAAATAGAAAGAGAATTGGAACTGGAATTGGTTTCTGCTCAATCTTATCAAATTTGGAGTTCAATAGGATTTTGCTTTATCTGCTACACTTTTTAATCTATGTATGAAGTTATAAATAATCAGTTGATTTGAAGTGATGCCAGTCCATTTATGGAATTCTCTCCCCAGAGAGGCTTGACTGGCACCCTATTAACATTATTTCAGTGCCAGGTGAAAACTTTTTATTTTCCCATGGTTTTTAATTGTATTTTGATTCTTAGTTTTTGAATGGCCAGCATGCTGCTGCCTAACTTATATGGTGTTTTTGTATTTTATATGATTTTATCATATATGTTTTTACCCAGGCCATATGTTCAGTGTGTTTTATTGTAAACTCCCCAGAGAGCTTTGGCTTTTTGAGCAGTTTAAAACTTTTAATGAATAAATACAAATGAAATGTCACCAATTTGCTCATTCTATCAACTCTTTTCTCTGTGACGTCAGAATTAGATGAGGCTGGGAATGTGTGAACTAGATGGCAATTGTCTGGAAAGGCTAGCCATTCAACTGAACTAAATTCAGATAATCTAGATACAACATAGGTAGCTAGTTCTCATTCCCTAAAACAGGCATATTTTGTAGATACTGTGAAAATTCAGGTTTGTCACTAAAAGCCCAGGTGGTCTTGATATCATGGAATGCCTTTTGCCAGGTTCAGCTATCTTGGCAACCTCAATGTAGGCTGTCCACCATTATTTACTTTGTGGAAATTTCCTAATTGTATTATTACAACATGTAGCATTGGGGATTTTTTAAAACACAATTCTGAAGCTTCAATTCATTCAGAATAAAGCTGTCAAAATGTTGACTGATAGGGAAAAATGTGTGCATTTTAGACAAAGTTCGGAAGAATTTTATTGGCTGCTATTTGTTTAAGGTTTCAATTCCAGTTTGGCATTTAAACTTTAGCACCCTGAATAGCTTAGAAATTGAATAAGACAAACAATATCTCTTCCTATATTAATTTATCTGGGTTTTAAGATCTATCAAGATCATTCTCCAGATACATTTTATAGTAATTTTATTAAAAATTAAAATTACAACAATAAAAACTAAAAAAAAAGAAGAAAATAATAAGAAGAAAAAACAGAAGTTGCAGGGAAAAAAAATAGAAAAGAAAGAAAAAAATAAGAATATAGTAAAGAAAAAGAAAGGAAATATATAAAGAAATTACTTCCTCCTTCATCACAAGTATAAACAATTTTAGTAACTTATCAACTTCCCCTAAAATACAACAGATATCTCTTCTTCCTATATCCCATCCCTTATCTATAAACAGATCCTTAAGCCTCATCATTTCTGTCCTCAGCAAAAGTCCATTAAAGGTTACGAAAGAAAACAACATATCTACTTTACTCTTGATTAAATAAACCAACTTTATATTCATTCCTTTTACTTTTATCTATCTTGATCTTTAGCCCTTTCAAATAATGTCCTAGAACTTGATTTCTTTTATTTTTCTGTACCTTTTCACAAAATTCTTCAAAGCTTTCACTAGCCTCTTTTGTAGATCCAGTGTATGAAAATTAGCCAAGTCACTCTCTTGATTTGTTATTTGTATATCCTTTTTAATTATTAAGACATCATCTGGTTTCCTTTGTAAGTCTAGTGTAACATCTTTTTCCATGTCATTCTTGTAGCTTGTG